GCAGTGGTGCTCAGAGAAGGCATCTTTACGTTGAGGATTTTTCACTGGACGTAGAATGCACCAAGAGTGACAGTGACGATGAACGGATCAGTTGCTAACTCACAAGCACCAACTTGCACTTCACGTCCCGTCGTACGTTAACATATTTTCACGCTCGTGAATCACTTTTACTGTAATTTTTGTATGAAATTCCTTGGCGAGCTGAAAATGAAGACAGTTTTTCTTGTGCATTGCATGTAACCCAAATAGAGTGGATATTAAGGAGCGCCACTAGCCGCCAACGCGCTCGAAGCGAAATGGTTAGACAAATGAAACATGCGGTTACAACTACAGTCACGCCTCTCTGCTAACTTCTCTCGCACTTCACTGGTACCGTCTGAACGACGTTGTTATTTGACGAATTTTCAAAGTTTTGAAGTTGCAGAAAGCGTTAGTGTGTATTCGTTTTGATATCCTTGTTGCGATTGCGCTAATAGAACCTGCAACATTCGAGTGCAGTGTATCGCACACTGTTAGGGTCTGATGATGGCTGCGATATAAGCGCTATTTAAAAGGTGTTAAGTGCTTGCGTTCTGTTGAAGAACCAACTCTATGCCTCTTACAGCGCAATAAATGACCACGGTGTAATACGTTTGCCAATCATCGCCACGTTAAACATTCAGTCCCATGCAGCCACAATGGGGCGCTATACTCGCTAGTGCCCCACTACTGCGGCAAATCTATCAGGCAGGCTCGGCACAAATTTTCCTGGATTGCCGTTCAGTTGATACGTGAATTTGAGTTCGCGCAGTTTTCCGTAGCACGCGGAGGAATACGCAAGGTGTCGTTGATGCACGGTCGATCAGCGGCAAGAAATGAGCTAGCGAACATTTAGCAGTTCCTCTCGTTTGAGAAAGTACTTTGGTCTGATGTACATTCATTTGACGATCAAGAGTTCATCCTTTGAAAGCGGCACGGGGCGTAAGTTGATTGATTGATATGTGTGCTTTAACGTCACAAAATGACCACATGATTAGGAGAGATGCCATAGCGGAGGGCTCCGGAAATTTTCACCACCGGGTTCATTAACGTGCACCCAAATCTGAGCACACAGGCCTACAGCATTTTCGCCTTCATTGAAAATGCCGCTGCCGCCGAGATTCGATCTCGTGACCTGCGGGTCAGCAACCGAGCACATTAGTCACTAGACCACCACGGTGGGGCATCATGGCGTACGTCCGTGCGTCATATACATTTTTGTATGCGAGTTCACGGCTTGATCATCCTACCGCAGGCATCTTGAATTGCACGGCGCACCGCCTACAGCCCGTGGGTGTTGCGAATAGCTCGTGCATTGTAAGTTTGCCCAGTTGGTGTCGATTCATGGTGTAACTGTGCAAAATATGAACGGGAACACAAAAACACGCTGACTATATTATTCCCAAAACAAGCCAAATATAAAGGACAAGAGAAATGAAACACAGGGAAAAGTGGTGACGAGATAATATAAGGGACGACATATGTGAACAAAAGCCGAAGTCACATTGATAATGACACGCTAATTACACAAGACCAAGAATAATTAACTGTTTTTCGTGTAAAGCCACAAATGAAGCGCTGACACAGACTCAGAATATTTATGAGCGCAGACTCGGTAAGTTCACGCGCTCTTTGATTTTCGTGTTGAAACAATTTAGCCTCTTTGTGTGCCAAAGAATATAACAGAAATGTGGTGAATCGACTAGCGGTCCAGAAGGACACGTGCAACGTTAACAATATGTGTAACCATTGATTTTATATTACCAATGTTGTCCACTCGATACTTCTTTCCTGCAGTCATGTATATACGTCAGCCAAATGGGATGCTGTGTAAACGTTACACTTAAAGTACATTCCCATTCTCTGAAAGGCCACGTTGCCTACCATGTTGAAGCGCATTGAAAGAAATGTGTGTGCGTGGCGCTCTTTCGAGACACCTCGGTGCTGTCTCACCAGGAAAAAATCAGGCCACGTGAACTTGTTGAGGCTGTGCACATACATCGACATTCAGAGTTTTGCGTTGGCATTATCTTTGTGCTTTACATGAAAAAAAATCACAGCATATATACGGAATGAATGTTCACAAGTGGGGCAAAGCGTCCGCTTTCCTGTCTGACTATGGATACGCTGTGCTGTCTAGGTTGTAGGGATGGACTGCCCTAGACCACAAGGAGTTCACCCATAAAATGTTATATTAGTCTTCTGTGATAGGCGTGTAATGGTTTATATGTCTTCGGTGTTTGTTGGTACGGTTCCTCTTCACCGTTCTCACCTAGACCTTTTGCCTTGTCTAGCAAAGACAATGGTATTTCTTGAGATACTTCAATGCCGGAAATTGAATCTGTCTATCTGCGTGTCTGTATTTCGGCTTACGTCTCCCGATTTCATAGAATTGCGAACGTTTAACCCCTTACAAAGCGAGCAACCATCTTGAGCTTGTTTTTGCGTTCATATACGTGCTGACATTGTTAATCAAAAACAGATGTTACGCATATTTTGGCACAAAATTTGTACGGGATCACTGCGTTACTTTATTTCTAAAATGTATAGATACGTAATTATAAAGAGCGCAGGGCTTAGTACGCGATGATGGAAATCCGACGCTATGACAAAAAAAAGGAGACAAAAAAAAAAAAACGGATCATTCTACACTTCACTAAAGCCACATGGTGCTGCCACCTACCAGCGACTTTTCATTCTAGAGAAACTTTGAACTGTCGACATCATCTAGCAAATAACAGCTAGATAACTCACGCAGCATAACTCAGGCAGCATCAAATTATTTTATATACTCCCTACGGGAGTAGAGTGGCGCATAAGACCGCAATCTTGCATATAGTTAGTAATAATGCCTCGCTGTGTTTCTTCAGCTGATCGACGAAGCACGTCGCCGATCGCCAGTCAACGTGCCTAGCGCGCCAAGCGCGAAGGAGTAGAGCCTAAAGTCAGTTGAAAGTGTTCTGTCACTCTGCGCTGTTTTTGTTGTCTTTGTCTTTGTGTGCTTATAGTTCTCAGCATAAGAGTAGTGCTGAATAACATGCACCACCTCTCCCACATGGTCCAGTGGCCCAAGCCATGAAAGGTAAGCAACAACAGAAAACACAAAAATAGGTCCTCCGAATTAAGGAGTGCCCCACTAATCCAGCATTGATTATTTAAGCATGATCTTTGAAAATGGTGCTAAATTTACGCAAATACTTTGCTATCGAAGCTTAAGGACATGAACCTAAAGTGAATAAAATCACCAGCTCGTACTTAACGGACCTTCAGAGTGCACGACGGTTATTTCATAAATTCCAGATGGACGGCAACCACTTTCGGTGGTGCAACCTGTGCACCATCTTCTCCGCAGTACATGGTTTCTGGAGGTGCTGGAAAAAAATGCGCTATTCTGCTGCCCAAAGGTAGCATATACAGTGATTCGAAGGCAGCGTTCATTCGCTGGTTTTCTCGCGCAGACCGTCAAATGAACGTTGTATTCTCTCTCTAAAGACTATCGCGTTTCGACGACTTTCGACAGCGAAGCGCGCCGATATATACGCCGCCAAATATATTTACCCTTTGTCTTTCAATGCTTTTTGGAAAATGAAGCTTCAGTTGATAGAGTATGCCGTTTTGTGCTTTTCTCTTATCTAGTGTTCCCGTTCGTTTTTTGTGAAGTTAGGTCAAAGCATAGCCAAGCAGCCGAGACGTTTTCTCTTCCGCCACCTGCCTCAAAAATTAGCAGAACTAGCGCAAAGTAGCCAATCCTGGCCCTCTTGCTGACGAGTTTGAGTTCCTAATGCCTTTTAAATATTTTCTTCTCCCCATTTTCATCAAATCAACTGCTGTGCCGTCGTCTCTAAAACAAATAACAAAAATTATTTGCGCCAAGTCAGTACATAATACTGAAATTATAATGTTACAGCGCGTACAGACAACACGCACCACGAAGAAATTCTTTCAGGAGCTTTCTAATGTCACCGTCAATTCCACCCAAAGGTTCCGTGTACCGGTGTTCTTTCATTGTACTCACCTAGTTAACTTACCTGCATCAAAACGATAGTATTTTGTAATAAAGAATAAAATACCTTTCTTACCATTTTGACGTCATTAAATTATTAGTAACATTGCCCTGCATATATTTAACACGTGAATTTTTGTCTTTCCGTTGTGCAATTTAGTTTTAGCTGGTTTATGCGGCCATTTTTTACAGCGCAAGCTGCTGTGAGATCACAACGGCCGTTGCGCCGTAATTGTCCGTCGCCGGCGGTGTCCGTAAGCGGTGAGTAAATAAAGACACTCAAGGTAGACTGGGATTAAAAGCCGGCTACCCTGCACGCCAGCCCAGTATTCTACCTCTGAGCTACGCCGGTTCTTGAAACTCCTTTGGAAACTGACCCTTCGCAGGTTTCATGTCATGGAAGGAATCGCGTTAATAATCTGCAACAAAGTGTTTTTGAACACCAAAAGAGCTATGAGGCTTCACAAACACAAATTGCGTATCGAGTGGGTCGTTCAGTGCTACGACATCATCACAATAGCGTTAGAGATAGTTTGTTACCATCGTAAGACCCAAGCATAAAAAAATGCATAACATTCCTTGCAAGCGTGTAGAAGTTAGCATGCTTCTTCGAAGAATAACGAAGTATGGCGTAGTGGATGGCTCCCAACTACACAAATTTATTATTTATGATACAGTGGGTAGGTATACTGCAAGGGTTTTTAAACAGTTACCCTAAGAGTGTTTAAATATGGCTCTAAAAGGCCACTCTTGCACCTTGAGGTATGGCAGTGGTGTGCGTTCCGCCAGGTCTGTCTGTTTTTAGCGCCGCAACTACGTATGTTCTTTCATCCGTTGTTGCCAAGCAGCATGTATATCTGAGCAAATTAAAATGAACCTCCCTAAACGCTTATTTTTTTATTTGCTGTCGTTTCTTATGTTGTTGTCATCATTTGTAGTTTTAATCAGTGTGTAAATACGCATAAATGAGTACCAAATGCATTATTTCAACTCACCATTTTTATTTTACTGTACATTCATCAACGGAAACAGGAGCATTTCCTCTACCAACGTCACACAGAAGGATGATGTAAAATATGTAAGATGAGTGTGAAAAGCCTGAGAAGCTAAAAAAAATTAGAATTATGGAAGTAAATGGTGGTGAAGTATGGTCGCTAGTTATGATGCGGGTTCATTTTCATGACCAGCCACCACAATGAAGCTGGTGATCATTCAAGGCCTCTTGTTTGGTTTTTGTTATTCTGAACAGCTGTCACTGGTGCACCTTAGTGTGTGTTTAAATTTCTGTAGACGCCTACATTCAAGTTTTTATTACAGCTCGCACGTCAAGACGTAGACAGCGTTTATATCCGAGGAGTTTTGTGAGGTCGAACCAAGCCGAGCAAAGGAAACATTAGTCAAACTGACCATGAATTTAGAAAAGTGCTCATGATGGTTAACGAAAAAGTTTGTGAGGCAATAGTACCTGAAGATGCCTGAAGTTTAGTGCATGAATGCCTTGAGGGGTGAAAAAGGCGTACGAGGGCTCTTCCTGTAAAATGTTTGCGCTGCCCGCGTACAACAGGCTGGCTGTTGGCCTACGCATTTCGTGCACAGCGTACCTCGACGCCAAGCACAATCTCACGTTCAGGAAAGACGTTGATGAGGGGAACCTTTACTTTCATGGGAATTTGTGTTTCATCGCATACGCTGAATTTGTACTTTCTGACGAGTTTAGAGAGGACAGCCTTGAGTTCGAGCAGAGCGAGGCGCTTACCGATGCATTCACGCGGTCCAAAGCCGAACGAAACGGTGGACGCCGCGAGGCGCTCCCCATCGAGACGCTCGCTGAACCTGTCCGGATTGAAGTCGTAAGGGTCACTCCACAGATCGGCGTCGTGAAGAACATTCCACGTCGGCAAGATTATGTGTGAACCTTTCGGAATGACGTGGCCGCTTGTCAGCCGAGTGTCTTTGGTGCATATGCGCGACGTAACTAGCACCAAAGGCGGGTAGAGACGCAGACATTCTCGGATCACCGCGTCAAATCGCTTGAGTGCGTGCAAATCTTCGTAGCTGAGTACATCTTTGTCCGGGAAGAAAGACATCAGTTCATCGTGAAGCCGGCGCTGCTCTTCGGGGTGTCGAGCTAACTCGTAGAGTGTGAACGCTAACGTGCTGGCAGTTGTCTCGTAACCGGCAACCAGAAAGACGAAGCAATTAGACACAATGTGCGTGTCCTTGATGAAGCTGGTCTTGGGCCTAATGTCGCTCACTGCTGACGTCACTGTTTCATTGTGCCCCTCATTGTCGCTAGCGGCATTCTTCTGGGCCTCAACCATCAGCTGAACAATGTCCGCTACCGCAGGTGTTCCCTGCTTGCGCACTTGCAACACTTGATGCAGGTTGTCCTGCATGCTCGTGAACAGCCTCCCGTAGCTGAGCAGTGGAAATATGTATGACATAATGGTACCGAGTGAAGGCACAAGTATGCACACGTCATTGATGGCGTTCCCTGAATTCAACAGTATCTTTCGGATTGTGCTGATGACGGGATCATCCACGTTCTTCTGGCAGTCAGACTGCAAAGAAAGGAAGAAAATAAATTATTACACGCGTTACGGGAAGGAGTATCAATTCAAGCTAATGACAACCTAATTTAAGGGGATAGGAAGTTATAGGTGTTCGTTTGCCGCCACAATATGTCTTCCTCACGCAGAGAATAGTGAGTGAAGCTCACGGTTCACTTTCTTAGCCCAAATGGTTCCTAGGATTGCTACTCAATAAACAATTGTATCGGGCCAGTTGGTAAGGATCCATCTTGCTAAGAAGCGCAGCCACTATAACAAAGAACACACAACACAAGCGCTTGTGTTGTGTGTTCTTTGTTGTAGTGGCTGCGCTTCTTAGAAAGTAGGATTGCTAGTTGTGTTTACAGTTACACACGTATATTCTCCTTAGTGAAGTCGGACTAGCAGAGCTACTCAAAAAGTGAGAAGGCGCCAAGTTGTTTTCTTTCTTTTTTTTTTGCAGTGCAAGAGAAACTGGTAAAGCATGCACTGCTGATTATTGTCCATTCACTTTATTACAAATGGTTCCCTGAAACGTGGGAGTTGGGCTTGGGGCTTTTAATGAGGAAAAATGTGTGGCCACTGCAGAGCAATTTCTCAGCATCCATGAAAGTGTAGTGGGTGTCGCGTCAAGTTAAAGAAGACAAAAAATGGGGAGGGGCGAAGTATGCAGTTCGCTTTTAGTTAATGCGCGTGCTACGGATATTTATTGTTCAGCAACGCACCAGGGGAATCTCTCTACCAGCACTACACTGCAAGTCGTGATGCAGTGCTTACATATATGTGATGGATGGTGAACAGAAGCATGGGCAGTCTGTTTTTTTGAACCAAGAAACTTGCAGCAGACGCTGCCTCTGTCGGCGTTTTCTCTCATGGCCGAGGGTGCGAGCTGGTAGTGTAACGTTCACTGTGGAACGAGCACCTCCATAGTCACTGTTCTTGGCGGTGGCACTCTCTTTGGTGCTTAAACAAGTCAAACGTCACAATGACGATGCACGCCGACACCCTAAGGTGCTTTGGCCTTAGAACACACCGATGTTTCGCAGAATTTTAGATTGACGGATCCGCAACACGCGAGCAGATTGGTTGTGGAGTTATTGAAGCAGAAAAAGAACATGCACTAAGCTAATCACGCATTAATCAGTTTAAATCCTGTATTGGTAAGGGAATAAAAAGTTGTAAATGAGCGCCTGTCCTGTCTATGATTTTTTTTTTCAGTGTGCACTTTATTTTGGCACAAAGTTGATTACTATAAATGCACCAACTAGTCCCCAGCAGCGAGAACCAATGACAGGTCAAGGCGCTGACAAAAGTAACAACAACTAAAATATCGGGAGAGCAAAAGGTCGGCTGCGTGTAGAGGTTCGCATGCTTGTTTCTGTCGAGATTGTTCGAGCGCCACCGCGCCACTCTACTCCACGAATTGGGCCGCGCAGACCTTATCGCGGGCCTTCCCATAAGATCCAGGCGGAAAGATAAAACAACTTCATTTTCATTACTTTTATTCGGGTGGCTTCGTGGCAGTTGTACAGGCTTGAAAAGTGGAGCCCAGGGACCACTTTTTGTTTCACTCAGTGTCTCTCCTATAGCACTATATTGTACCTTAAAGGGCCCGTAAACCACCCACAGGTCGAAATTCCGTTGTGGTGGGGAAATTGTGCACGAATGTACGACGAAAATGGAGCCATCAGAATTTTTTGAAACGGTGCAGCTATAGCGGAGTTATACCACTGTCACACGGGCACCCGTGAAAGCCGTTTAACTTCCTCGTCCTTACGGCCACGAAGATGCGGTTCGTGTCACACGCCCACCCTTACACAAACGAAGGTAAACTGAGCATTTCGCAAAGGACGTTCAGCGATCTTCCTTTGCAGCGAAACGAGGTACTCGCGTTCCCAGCAGTCTAGAGGTCAGAGAAAAATTTCGAGCACTAAGTGGCCACAGTCAAAACAATAATACGCTTTGGCAATAGTAAAAGTTCTTCCGTTGTAGTGCTCATTCAGAACGCGTGTTTGTTTACATATATTTACGCCCGCCAGATTTCACTAACTCTCAACACCGATGCCCTACACTCCGTGCCTCACTAGTCGAGCCAGCCGGCGCCAAAAAATATTTCGTCCACGCATGTGGTTGTAGTCATCGCTGTGTCACTCATGGCTGAAGAACACATAATGTGCGCTCACGAGGCAAGGAAGTACAAGAACTTTCGTACACCGGCATGAAGACAGGCAACAAAACAACTAAAAGCACAATCTGGCCAGCGTCACTGGCAGCAACGCTACATTTAGCAAATTCGTTTTAATTTGGAATGATTTTTAATGGTTTGTTAGCCTCTTACATACCTAATAGTGCTTTTTTGTAAAAATTGCATAACGAGAATTAATAAAAAATAATAGAGATGAAATTTGAATACTTTTCCGAAAATAAAACAGCGCGAGCTGAGCTTCCTCGCGGCAACTGTTACAACCTTGTCATTGCCGTGGGACACTGCCACAACTCCTTCTCCGTCGAACCCACAAGGGGAGATTTACGTTGACGCTGTTCAACGGAGTTTAGTGGTGGCCGTGTGACAGGGGTAGTAGACGCGTTTTATTATCGAAACCGTTATGACCACACCTTTCACTCTTTCCTGCGCTTCCCTCCGCTGGTATCCTTTTCCACGCCGCATTTCCCTCTCGCCGAGCACCCCTCTCTTTTCCCTCTCAGTTTCGCGAGGGATACGTCATCGCTGGTGCGCTGCTTAAAACACCGTCTACTTCCGCCTGCCGCGACTCCGGCCGTCAACTCTCCGTCAGTTGTGTTGTAGCTGCGTGCTTGTTGGGGAACCGTGGCTGCCGTAATTGTGCCGGTATGAACCCTGCGTTGTCGCACGCCTTCAAAGGATCGCCAATGCGATGGATTCATACGGGGACACACCGTGCCTTGCACGTGTTGCACGCACGCGGGCAACACAAAAGCTGCTTGCAGACTGACCGGAAGTCATAAGCTCTCGCTCGACCAATCAGAGCATATTTGGCATATTTGGCTCGGCATGTCAGAGATGTAGCACGGCGAGTCACGTTGAGGCCTGAAAGGCCCGGAAAGGAGGAGGAATCGTTCCTTGGAGTTTGTGGTGCGCCGGCGGCTTGTAGCGCAGCCACGTATAAAATCGTTGATCGGGACGCCATTCTGCACACAATGCGAACGTTAGTTTGAAATGCTTGAAAAAAATATATATATTGTAGGTGGTTTAGGAGCCCTTTAAAATACGCGACATTTACCGATACACGAATTTATCGGTAAATGCAGATACAGGTACTCCTCTTGCGAGACGTCTATATAGACACAGCATACCCTCAAAAAAACTGATATTGCATCTAAGAAACAGGTATGTTCAGTACTGTCCAGCCCTGGTTCTAACTAGCCCAGTTTCCGAAATTACTACAGTCAAGTACGACACAGAATAGGCATCTAAGCTTCTTGTAAGGTAGGTAATGGTGATGAAAACTTCATTTAGGTCCAGAGAATACGCAGATCCTGTGCTATACGGCTAGTTCCACATAGGGATTGACGGCCAATTCGAGCTTGGCGGCCTGTTTGATGGCACTTTCATATTTTTATACATGCAAAAAATATTACTTTTATAGCAGTGATCGCCGCAACTCTAGAGTTGACAAAGAGCTGTTAGTAAGCTCAATATGGACCAAATATCATCCTCGAATCCTCCTCTATATACTCCTCTCCACTTCCGTTCGACAACACTGTGGTAGTCATTGCTGCATCAAACGTTCAAAACTAACAGCAGTGAGGCTTCCAGCAGAGAACAATCTCTGTCTTCAGTTCACACTTACGCTATTGAATATTATAATAATAATTGTCTCGGTTTAACGTCCCAAAACCACTATATATTTATGAGAAACGCCGCAGTGTATGGCTTGGAAATGTGGACCACCTGGGTATATTTAAAAGGCCCCTACATCTAAGCACACGTGCCTGAAGCACCCTCTCCTCTACCTAAAATGCAGTCGCCGCGGCCGGAATTCAATCCCGCGACCCGCTGGTCAGCAGCCGTGGGTCAGCAGCCGCTTAGCTACTAAAACGCCATGGCGGGTTCGTAAGATATTCAAGTAATTGTACTTTAGTACCTGCCATCCAAGAGAGCACTTGGTAATGACGTCCATTGAGACACCTTGAGACAGCTTGGAGAGATTTACAGCCGTGCGTCTGTGTGGGGGCACTTGCTCACCAAGGATTTCCAGCAGCGTGTCTGAACAATGATGTATAATGCCTAGCATTAGCTTCATCTTTGCTGAAGTGAAACTAGGATTGAGTAGATTTCGCACCGTCTTCCATTCATCCCCTGAAAAATAGAAATAAAGAAAGCATGGGTAAGAGACCAGTATCTACGCTGTTCTTGCCGTGTTACTGCAAGTATACTATGCACGATGCAATGTGCGTTTAGCGCAGGCTAAAATATACAAACTTAGGTTGCTATTGAAGCTAATCTCGTGATGCGACGGTACTCAGGGCAGAACGGGACGGTCGAACACCAAATATGTACCTTCCTCTCAGAGTTTTCGTTCAAAATGGGGTAGTATCAGAGGCCCTATACTATACGACACGTATGGCCAATATGGTGCATTCAACATGACTGTAAACTTCATCACTGAGAGACCAACTAATTTGACGAAATCTTTTCAATAATTTTATACTTAAGGCATGTGGGGACACGAAAAAAGCATATAAAAAGCACACGAATACGAGCGTCAAATTGAGTGCCAAGCGTATAGCAGATCTTCCAAGATTACCCACTTCAATGTACTCTCCAAACATACTGGTCACATAAACATGGCCTTCCAGTGAAACCGCTCATTATTTCCAAGTTTTTTTTTCCTAGAGTATTTAGGCCCGTGTTCACAAGCGCTCCTCGACTCGGACCTCGACTGGAACTGATCCATGAGGATTGTTTGGCATTGAAGAAATCGTCATTGACTGCAAAGGCTCCTCGAATTTAGTGAATCCTCAGTATGGGCCTAAAAAATCTCGAGGTAGCACAGGCGCTCTATTCAGCGCTTCTCACACACAGACACACACAAAAATTCTGGATTAATACGGCAAACCTAACATGATACGTCTGTTTTCTCTCCATATATTTTTATTTTTTGTGTTTCAGTGAATCATCATCCAACTCTTCGTAGTGCACACTCGTAAACCGACCAAGACTAGAATAACGTGGTTAATGGAATGGCAATCCTATAGGAATGACCTCGACGTTGAAACCACCATAATCGACTTTGAAGACTGGTTTAAGAATGTGCTTAAGATAGCCGAACGCTACACTAAAGACATACAGCCTAACGTTGGTGCACCCGCCATCGAAACACATCTCCTCCACCTTTGGGAGGCTAGAAGAGGACTTCTAAAACGGAGGAAGCAGCAAAAATTTAACAGAAAGTTACGGAAATGCATTTCTCTCCTCACCAAGCAATCTCAAAATTATGCGAGCCACTTGGCCAGGCAGAACTGGCACGCTTTCTGTGACAAGCTGCAGGGGACTCTGAGCAGCAAGAAGACCTAACATATGCTACGCACACTTCTGGCCACGCAACCCCCCAAAGCAGCACAGAAGCAGCACCTTCAGAGTCTTATTCGAAACTACGCCGGTACAGAAGAACAACTCCTAAAAGAAATACAAAAGAATCTCTGTGGCGATGCACCCACTCGGGCTTCAGTTCACACCAAAGAATACGCTGGTGCGCCAAACACTGAACTCGACCGGCCCTTCAGCCAGGCTGAACTTCACACAGCCCTAACGAAGTTGACAAGAAATACCAGCCCTGGAATAGACAGGATTGTCAACAGGCACTTGCGCAACCTACCGCACAAGGCCACCACGGCTCTTTTCCGATATTATATTGCAACGACTGCTGAGATAAAGGAGAGCTACCTGCAGTATGGAAGCACTCGGAAATCACAATGACTCTAAGCCTAACAAACCAGTCCGCATTGAGAGCCTCCACCCGATTTCTCTTACCTTGTGAGTGGGAAAGCTGTTCGAACATATGGTGCACGACCGCTTAACCCAGTACCTGGAAGACAGTGGACACCTACCGGACATCATGTTCGGCTTCAGGCAGCATCTTTCGACGCACGACGTGCTTTTGCTACTCAAAGAAGACCTCCTTGATCACCTCACCCATCGAAGAAAGTACTCCTTACTAGGAGTCAACGTCAAGGCGGCCTTTGATAACGTCAGCCACGACGCGATCCTTAACAACCTCGAAGGCGTTGGCTGCGGCATTAGAACCTACGCGTATGTCAGAAACTTTCTGACGGACCGTACGGCAACTGAGCATATGCAACATCCGCAGCAAAAGCTTCCAACTACCGAAAAAAGGCACGTTGCAGGGTTCGGTCATCTCGCCATTACTTTTCAATGTGGCTATGATAAATCTGGGAAAAATTTTTGACAAAGTACCAGATTTACGGCACGCGATCTATTCTGATGACATCACTCTCTGGACCAGGGCTTCGAACACTGGGAGACAAGAGACCTGCCTACAAACCGCCGTAGATACCAACGAACGGTATCTCAGAAACTGCGGTCTCTGCTGTGCCCCCGAGAAATCCGAGCACCTCGTCCTCAAAGCGAGAACAAGAGGCAGACCCCCTCTATACGGCGAGCCCATCCCTAGCGTAACGCTGAAAGTGACCTTAATTCCAAAAGTCGAGACCCTGCGAGTACTTGGGGTTAACATCTACAAGGATGGATCGGGAGCTGCCACCCTACCGAGACTCCAACGGACATTATTACAACTCACGCACCTCCTCAAGAGGATCGCGAATCAATGAAACGGACTCTAAGAGAATGACACGCTACGTTTATTGATGGCTCTGTTCACCAGCCGCAATACGTGTGGCACTCCGTACCTGAATTCGAAAACCGCTAAAATTGAAAAACCTAATATCATGATAAGAAAAACCACTGAAGTAGCCTTGGGACTTCCACCAATGGCCTCTACCACACGTCTCCTAAAGATGGGCGTCCACAACACGTGGCAAGAGCTCATCGAAACGCATAGAAACAGTCAGCTGGAGATGCTCAAACTGACGCCCACGGGGAGGTCGGTGCTCCGGTACCTCAACTACAGTGACACGTTCATCGCCGATGCACACCGGAAAAAGCGCATCCTGCTGTACGTTAGGGAGTCGCTGTCCATCGCACCTATTACACGCAACATGCATCCTACTTTCCACAAAAGTAGACGCAAGGCTACAGCTAACGCTATTGAACGAAAGTTTAAGCAAGACCTGGACGCCCGCTACACTGACACGGCCAAGTATCCGCATAAAAACGCATACGCTGTCAGCGTCGTAGATTCTCAAGGGCGAGAATTAGCGTTGGCCATGGTCAACGCACTCAATTCAGACGCCGCAGAAGAATCGGCAATCGCTCTAGCAACCACAACATGTACAGACGCCGCGGTTATTTTCACCGACTCGCAAGCAGCCTGCAAGAATTTTGCTAAAAGCTGTATCTCAGCCAATGCCATCAATATTTTGAAACGGCGAAGCACCCCACTCCAATACACTTGTATATTATGGGTGCCAGGACACGAGGGTCTGCAGAGAAATGAAGTGGCTCACACCGCTGCCCACGAGCATGTCAGCCTGGCTGCCCTGCTGTCAGCCCTACTGACAGGACATTCGACCCGTCGTTGAAGAATCAGAAGCTGTTCAAAACACCTACTCGTCGTTACTCCAGCATTACAGGCTGGAGCGACGAGTATACCCACCACCACACCCAAAATTAACAAAAGAGGAAAGCGTAATACTGAGACACCTGCAAAGGAGCACATACACACATGGGGCCCTAATTCACTGTCTCTACCCAACGAGATATAGCTCTATGTGCCCGCTTTGCAACGTACCGGACACCCTGGCACACTTGCTTCTTGCATGCCAGTGTATCTCCAGACGTAATTTGCAACAAAACATGACTGATAATGAAGCAGGACGGATGATAGAATACCTAACTGAAACGTGGGAGGTGAAGCTCGCCCTCGAGAACATAGAAGACCAACAATAACTCGTCGCCAGGGCCAAGAGGGCAGTAGAAGCCAGAGGGTTTCTGGACTAAGGAGCCCCCCCACCTCAGGGTGACACCGGGCATTGCTCGGGGCACTGTTTCAAAATAAACGTTTACTTCTCTCTCTCTCTCTCTCTCTCTCTTTCTCTCAGTGAATCTGCATTCTTACTGTTTCTGTAATGAAGCTAAGGAAAGCCGCATAAGTCTCTTCACCAAGGCAGTTTTCCAGGCAGCTGCTCAATCGTCTGGAACGTTACAGTCACACTATTTACACTCGCAGTTTCACTTCATGAGGTTAGCTGTCATAGGCGCGTGTTCAGGGGTGGGTGAAGGTTAGTCGCATCGCCCCGCCCTTTCTATTGTGTCAATGTATGGGCTGATTTTTCGCACCTCCCGCTTCCCACTAGGGCGACTAGATTGTTGGCCGACCTTGCCCCCTTCCCTTCTACACCCCCAAGCGCTGGCCTATGTTCATCGTGGCAAACCTTCTGTGATGATGCTCTAAAGTACTGGCAGCCACAGCCGGTTAGGGCTTTTAGAGTAGCAGTTTATTATCGCACTACACATTGACAGTGCACAGAAATTAGAAGTAACCGCTGAAGGCAGTATGTGTCGCATTGTGCCCTATTAGGTAGCTAACGTCGTGGCTCCGAGAAAGCTCCTGCTTGCTGTGAGGAGGGGGCTCTTTTGTTTATGTTGCCTTTTCTGTTGGGGTCATTTGCTCACTTCACCACGCCGTTATAAGATTATTGTCAATAGATGACAAGTCAGTGGAACTGTGGGACAGATTTAAATAAAATATGAGCAAAATTTCTCTCAACAATACTTAATTGCAGAATAGTTTGTTCATGCTGAAATATAGACTTGCTGCGCAAGCGGCAAGAAAACAGTTAAGAGACACGATGAAGCGCAGACTGCTAACTGCTTATTTTCGGTTAAAGGAGCCAATATACGTATAGGCATGCTTAGCACTGCGCCCTCACACTTATCACAAGACTAAGACTTCTTTAAAATTGTATCTGCAGAAAACGACAGCAGAGCAGTGAAACATGCACCTCATTTATAGCAAATGCCACAATCTTTTTATACGCAACCACAAAGTGTGCAGTGCCTACTTTTCAAGCTGAATTTTTACCTCTTCACTTTTATTTTTTACATTTCAGTGAGAAGCACAACACGTACAATGGCACTAAATTGGATTTATGAAGGAAAAAGAAAACATTAAGAACAAAAAACTGTAAAACAAGAATTCTCGGATCATCTGAAGCCAAATAAAAATGAACAACGAAGATAGTTAAAATGTCGGAAGAGAGTCAAGGTATTGAAATCATTAAAACGTTACGCTTTGTCATATAGGAAACATAACCGGAGAGTGCAGGTTATCTAAAATTATCAACTAAAGCTTGCTGTCTTACAACTATCTCTTTATTGCACTACGTATGCAATCTCTTGATCGGATACCTGGTGCAATCAAGACAAACGTTTGTGTAGGTGTATATGCATGCAAAAAGGGGCGCTGCGTACTATTCTGGCATCGGATAAGCATGAAAGCAAATATCTCACTTCGTTTTTTTTACCTAAGTGAGGATTATTACTCTATCATGAAGCTCAGGAAACTGGTGGATATTCAACTTAGCGAAAGGCAGGTGTGCCGGTACGGACTCAAGCAGACGAACGAAAGAAGAAATGTATGTGTTTGCTTTATCCCATTTCAATTGAGGTACTTGTTTTCGCAACCCATATTTCGCGTAATACAAAGCGTGTCCGAGCAGTATAGAAGACGTTACCTTTCAGACCTATGAGGCTGTTCAAAATGGATTCGATGTCGGTTACCATCGGTGGCCGATCGATGAATTCGTGGGCTCGTTTAACGAAGCATTCCTTCGCAATATTAATATCGCCAATGACAACTTTGGCAACCTCGCCTTCGTAGAAACCGTATATCTTTCCATACTTTTGGGCCCACTGCTCCATGACCTGCGTTGTAAGAACAAACAGGTGAAAATAGACAACATATGTTAAGTGGTTTTTGTGCTTAACGCGACATAGGTTGAAAACACCACAACGAAGTTAGTGTTGACGGAACTGAAACATTTAAGTGGCATATCATGAAAATCTATTGACGCCTTTTGTAGTAATAATTCACTAATCTTGGAGGCCTTAATGTGCCTTCGTACGCGTTTGCGTTCAGATTACGAATGGCGTATACGACGTCTTCTTTTCTTCTTTTTTAACGCGTAGGGGTGGGCTCCTACGCTTGAGATGGCGTTGCTTCACTAGGTTTACAACCACTGGCCTTGCCAGTACAAGGCATGCTACAGTCAGGCATCTTATGTATGCACGAGGACTGAAAGGGGAAGCGGGTGGTGTCTGCATAGAAGCTATGCATCAGAAAGTATAATAATGAGTGTTGGGGTTTAACGTACTAAAACCACCATACGAATATGAGAGAAGCCGAAGTAGAGGGCTGCGGAAATGTCGACCACCTATGCGTCGATTTCGTGCACCGAAGCGTTAAACACTGAGCCACTCTGGAGCACACCCTTGACTGGTAAAACGGCAAGCTACTTATATCTAACACTTACCGCTGCTAACAAGAATCTTGGCGCGGGGGATTCTGTTTTCAGCATTACCAGCAAGATGGCGCAATGAGCCTGTGTCGCCACATGGCGCGGCGGCGCCCGCTCTAATCTCCTACGCGTACTTTGCCCGGCTTAGAGAAGGGGAGCGATGCCGCCCCAGGCACCCTTATCTCGCGGTGGCGAGAAGGGGCAGGTCATACACCTTGGCTGGCCTCGGGCTTTACCTCTAACGATTCTGCTGTAGTTACCGGGTGCACCGAGGTCACTGCAATCATTTCAGTCTCTGTTTGCGAAAAGCACGCGATTTTCAGACACATCAAAGTAACAAATTCGACGCTTATACGCGTGCATCCATACCTGCGAGTACGTTTTGTGTGTCATTTGTGCGTGAGGAACGCGGGGCATTTTCCGATCTGCTATCTATTCTGCGCGTGGCCTTTGAATTCGTTGCGATCGCGTTCATTGCTTCGCTTTTCCGGCAAAGCTGTGACTTTTTTTTAACATACACCTTTAAAGGGCCAGTAAAGAGCACTGAAGTCAAAATTTTTTTAAAGAGATATATGCGCAGTTTTTCTTTGCGAACATGCTGCCACAAGAATTTTGTGAATACGTGCTATACTACGGATGTTAAAGGGGTAAGAACATCGGTCTAAGCTGGTTTCAATTTTTCGCATGGCCTCGCCCCCCCCCCCCTTCTTTCTCCCATGAAGATTAAGGCGTAGCCCATTGTCGTGACTCCGCCCACTTTGGCAACGTGACACCACGTCAGCGATTGACGTGATTGGTGAACTCGATCAGTCGCAACGCACTTCCGCTTGCTGCGAAGCGTGGTTATTTGTTTACCGTTTGACGCACCAGCCGAAGGTGAATCGTGTAAGCGTAAGGTGCGAAGTGTCGATCACAAACGATCCGACGTACGTCGCGGGATGGCTGATTCGCTTCAGCCATGCAGCGTGCCGGGCCCCAGCGTGAGCAACCCGGCACCGATGCTTCTCCGCTGCCCATTCACTCGATTTGTAGTAGACGACAGAGCAACGCTTTTTACCCCTGTTGCTCATGTCAAGGGCGAAGTACATTCGTACGTGCGCACAGGCGCTGTAGTTGAAAGAGGAGTGTACACGTGCACGCGACAACTGCGAGGTTATTCTTGGGCTGGTTCTTTCACCGCAGTGCCAAGAAACAAGAGGGAGTTTTGTAGCTGTAGGTGGGGACAGGAACTGACGTTGACTTCACTACTGCTTTTCACAACTGATTTAGACCAATCGGCGAGCTGCGTGCTACGTGACGTCGCCGATTGCCGAGTCGACGTCACTGCACCTGCAATGGAGTCAGTCAGGCGTAGGAAAGATGCACAGGAATTTGTTTTTTTCAAAATAGAGGCTCTGCACGGCGCGCAGTGCTGTAGTATTCAGAAAACATGATCGCTGTTGTCTAATCTATGAATTTCCGAGCTTGTAGGGGGGGGGGGAAGGAGTGTAAAAAAGTCGGAGCTTGTTTACTGGCCCTTTAACATGCACACGGGCCTCAAGCGTTTCCACCTCCGTCGAAAATGCGGCTTCCATGGCCGGGATTCATTCCCGTGACTTGCAGGTCAGCAGCCGAGTGTCTCAGCCACTCGATTAACACTGAGGTAGGCCTCGAAAAGGGAACACGCACGATTGTTCAGCACAGAGGTTCAATTTTATCGTACTCGAACATTGGATGATATTCTTACAAGGAAATGTAAGAATATCATCAGGAAATGTTTGCAGGTATTTACGAAGTTTATACGCGACGACAATGGCTGGCACACTGGCAGGGTAGAACCAGTCTCTATACACTTCGTAGTCTTTTCTTCCAGGCAGAGGCCCTCTACCGCTTTGTGCCCCAATCACACTACTGCCTTGTGCCACTACCCCGCGGTGTTAAAGCCCCGACCCGGCTCTTGTCACGAAAGCGGAGTGTTGGGTGACACATAAGGCTTCAGTCTTACGACGTGCACAACAGTAGATGGTGGTTGTGTTGAGTGTTCTTCATTGGCGACTCTCTGTATCTTGTAGGTGAGGTTAGTGACCTTGCGTAGAACTTTATATGGTCCGCCATGGCGAAATAAGAGCTTTCCTGATGTGACGATGTAGCGTCCAGAAGAGTACTAGAGAACCGGGTGCACACAAAACTTCACGGTGATGACCATCGTACCAATCTTTCTGTGAGGCTTGAGAAAGTATGGGCCATTCTCCGGTAATCTGTCGTGCTGCGTCGGCTCGTTCTATGGCATCGCGGACGTATGTGACAGGGGAGCTTGAACCAGCGGGAAGAAGTGTATCAAGACGCAGAGAGAGTTCACGTCCATAAAGAAGGTAGAACGGGGAATAGCCTGCGGTGTCATGTCTGGAGGAGTTGTAAGCGAAGATGACGTAAAGTAACATTGCGTCCCAGTCGCGGTGGTCTGGAGAAACCTACATCGACAACCAGTTGGTGATAGTGCCATTCAAGCGCTCTGTAAGTCCATTAGTTTGTGGATGGTATGTCGCTGTGAACTTGTGTTTCGTGGAACAGGAACGAACGATATCCTGGACGACGCGAGATATAAAGTATCGGCCTTGGTCAGTAACGAGCTGTCGAGGAGCACCGTGTTGCAAAATGATGTCATGCAGTAGAAAGTCGGCGACATCGGTAGCGCAGCTGCTTGGGAGAGCGCGGGTGATCGCGTAACGTGTTGCGTAATTGTTCACCACGGCCAATCGTTTGTTCCCGGATGCAGAAGTGGGAAATGGCTGGAGAAGGTCGAGCCATACGCGTAGAGTGGCTCAGCAGGGATCTTAATAGGGTGAAGAAGACCAGCTTGAAGCGTTGTTGGTCGTTTTCTACGTTGACAAAGGTCACAGCTGGCGACATTCTTTTGCACAGAGCGATATAGGCGTGGCTAGAAAAAATGGCGCCGGACGCGATCATAAGTGCGGGTGACTCCCAGGTGACCAGCGGCAGGTTCATCGTGAAGCTGCCGGAGAACATCTACTCGCAATCGGAAAGGAACGACGAGAAGGCGGTCAGGGCCATTAGGGCGCATGTTGTGGCGGTAGAGAACCCCTTAATGAAGGAAATACAAGTTCAAAGAAGTGGATGGAGTACCGGAACTCAGCCTCTCTATGATGGGAAGTAAATCCGGGTTGCGGCGTTGCTCAAAAGCGATATCAAGAAAGTCTGATATTGATAAGACGCAAGCCTCAGTAGCTCTCTCTGTGGCGTCTGGCGGATTCACTGGATACTGTGACAGGCAGTCGGCGTCCTGATGGAGGTGACCAGATTTATACACGACCTAGAAGGTTTATTCTTGGAGGCGGAGAGACCAACGACCAAGACGTCCCGTCGGATCCTTGAGCAACGAAAGCCAGCAGAGCGCATGTTGATCAGTTACAACAGTAAAACTGCGGCCGAAAGGGTACGGGCGAAATTTAGCGACAACTCAAACAAGAGCTCTTTCGGTGTTGGAATAGTTCTGCTCACAGGGGACAAAAGGCGGTGGCGTAGGCGATGACGCAGTCACGTCCATGCTGGCGCTGAGCTAAAACAGCACCAATTCCGTGGCCACTCGCGTCAGTACGAACTTCTGTCGATGCGGTATGATCGAAGTGGGCTAATATTGGCGTAGTCATGAGGGCTGCAATGAGCGCCGAAAATGCAGCACTTTGAGGCGAATTCCAAGTAAATGGGACGCCTTATTTAAGAAGCTCGGTGAGAGGCTGCGCAATATTGGCGAAATTCCGGATGAAGCGGCGAAAATAGGAGCACAAACCAAGGAAGCTCTGGACATCCTTAGGAGAAGAGGGCACGGGAAATTGAGTCACTGCGCGAATTTTGTCCGGATCGGGCTGTACTCCAGATGCGTTAACGAGGTGACGAATTACAGTTATTTCGCGACGGCTGAACGGCATTTGGAGGAGTTCAGCTGGAGACCAGCGTTGCGGAATACTTGGAGAATACTGGACAGTCGCTCAAGATGGCTTGCGAACGTCGGTGAAAAAACAATTATATCATCTAAGTAGCATAAGCAAGTGGACCATTTGAAGCCACGCAGAAGGGAATCCATCATGCGCTCAAAGGTGGCCGGCGCATTACAAAGCCCAAACGGCATTACTTTAAATTGGTATAACCCATCGGGGGTTACAAATGCTGTTTTTTCTCGGTCCCGTGGGTCGACAGCGATCTGCCAATAACCAGATCAAAGGACAATGGACGAGAAAAACTTTGCGCCATAAAGGCAATCAAGGGCGTCATCTATTCTTCGTAAGGGGTAAACGTTCTTCTTAGTGACCTTGTTGAGATGTCTATAGTCGACGCAAAACCGTCATGTGTTGTCCTTCTTCTTGACAAGCACGACCGGGAATGCCCACGGACTAGATGAGTGTTCGACGA